CCTGGGACATTTGTTCAATAAGTAGAACAATAAACAGATAAATTTCAAAAGTAGAAACAGCAAAGTTCCTTCTTTCCTTATTTCTACCAACCTACACTAACGAGGCATTTTCTGGAACGGTACTACCCAAAGCACTTCTGGCAATGCCAGTGTTCTATTAATCTGTGCTGTCCATTGGGGGAGCTACTAGCCACATGGCAACTGAGTACTTGGAATAGGACTAGCACAACTGAGAAGTTAATTTTAAATTTTATTTAAATTTAATCAAATTTAAGTAGCCACATGTGGCTAGTGACTAAGGTGTTGGTCCATGAATACCCAGGACATGGAATGTTTTCCCCATGTTACTTGGGTTGTTGTCAAAAGTATTTTTCTGATCAAATTCCATCAAGTTAATAAAAGTTTATGATAAATTTTCTGTTCAATATACTACTTACAAAAAAAAAAAAACCTTACTTTTTTTTTCAATTTTTACTTTTACTGAGGAAAAGAAGTGGAGAGCGATTTTAGAGGAGACTCGAGAGGAGGGCTGCACGCCAGGGTGAAAACATCAGGCGCTGTGGGAAAAGCATCAGGCGCCGCGGAAAAAGGCTCCTCCTGCGCCTGAGAAATATCCTAGGATCCCGACAGCTACTTGTGAGCTACAGATGATCCCCCTTTTAAAGCTGAGGACACTGAGACTGAGAGCAATTAATTGACTTGCTTATGATCATAGCTTAAACTAGGATTTAGATCCATGTCCAGCTGCAGAGTCGGAGCTCTCACACACTACATGTTACTTTATTATTATTATTTTTTGAGACAGTCTCTGTTGCTCAGGCTGGAGTGCAGTGGCACAATCTTGGCTCACTGCAACCTCCACCTCCCAGGTTCAAGTGACTCTCCTGACTCAGCCTCCTGAGCAGCTGGGATTACAGGCATGCACCATCACACCTGGCTAATTTTTGTATGTTTAGTAGAGATGGGGTTTCACCATGTTGGTCAGACTGGTCTGGAACTCCTGATCTCAAGTGATCCGCCCACCTCGGCCTCCCAAAGTGCTGGGATTACAGATGTGAGCCACCGTGACCGGCCTTAAACATTATATTTTAGTTGCTAAAACAAAAATGGGCACGATGAAAAGTAGGTTAGGTAGCTCTTAGCAGACTTGTTATCCAGAGCATAATAAAAGCTGGACCGGCCAGTTTGCTTGGCAAGAAGCTAAGGATGTATCCAGGTAACTTTTCTTGATGGCTAGCAGGTGATGCTCGAGAAATTCATACCTTCCTTCAACCACAGCCATGATTCTAAGCTGGGAGACACAGGAGTGAGCAAAACAGAACAAGTTCCTGCCCTCATGGGGTTTTTATTCCAGTGAGGGACGCCCTCTAATGAGATGACAACTGAACAGGCACCGAGTGAATAAAGTGGGTCAGCTCTGTGGAGAAGCACCGGAGGACTGTTCCAGGCCAAGGGAACTGCAAGGACAAAGACGCAGAGGTAGCAGCATGTTGGGCACGCACAAAGAACAGCAACAAAGTCAGTGTGGTGGGGCACAGTGAATGAAAGCAGGAAACAAGCTCGAAGTGTTAGGTGGGGCCCACACCCTGTTAGTACTTAAAGGTCATTGGGAGAATTGGAATATATTTTAAGATTACGGAGAACTGTGAGAGCTGGGCAATGAGGGGCAGGAGTATTAAGAAGAGTGGGAGAGACATGATCTGATCGATGTCTTAAATGAAACACTAGAAACTGTATGAAATTAGAGTGTGAGAAAGCAAAATCGAGGCAGAAAAGTTAAAAGCAACCTTTTAATTGGAACCTTTTGAAGTAGTTCACTTGGGTTACAAAGGAAGCTTAGGGCTGGGAGTGGTGGCTCACACCTGTAATCCCAGCACTTCGGGAGGCCCAAGCAGGTGAATGGCTTGAGCCCAGGAGTTCAAGACTAGCCCGGACAACATCGCGAAACCCCAACTCTACAAGAAATACGAAAATTAGCCGGATGTGGTGGCACGCACATCTGCACTCCCAGCTACTTGGGAGGCCGAGGTAAGAGAATCACTTGAGTCTGGGAGGTGGCGGTTGTAGTGAGCTGTGATCACGCCACTGTACTACAGCCTGGGTGACGGAATGAGATCCTGTTTCGGGGGAAAAAAAAAAAGTACCACAAGCGAAGCTTAGATTAGCAGGACAGCTACAGAGATGTAGAGATGGGGAATAAAAACTAATTTTACGACAGACTTTAGCTAAATATATATGGTCAAATCCATAGTCATGGATAGATGGAAGGAAAGAAGGTTGTCCTCTAAACAAGTCACATAAGAAGCTGTACACTCAGTCTCTCAGGAATTCTGTTTACTATTCCTAGGCACTATCTCCCACATTCTCACACAGTCAACCAACCATTATCAGGGAAGTTCCCATAGTGTGTTTACAGATCATTCAAGTTATATGACACAGATATCTGCTACTTATTTATATTTAAATACGTCTCTCCAAACAAGCACAGCAGGCTCTGAGAATCCGATTAAAGCACAAGCAGGATTAATATCCCACAAACATTTTCTACCTAATCTTGTCTTCCTTTGCATAGCTTCAGGTTAATGAGCTAAATGGCCCAGAATGCCTCCTAGTTGAAGTTTGCAACATTGTTTCTAAAAAGCTTAAATCCCAACAAAAAGTTGGGACACAAAAAAGGTAAAAGAAAAACTGGCTTACATCTGCAATCCCAGCACTCTGAGAGGCCGAGGCGGGCAGATCAGCTGAGGTACGGAGTTCAAGACCAGGCTGGCCAAGATAGTGAAACCCCATCTCTACAAAAATTAGCCGGGCATGATGGTGGGTGCCTGTAATCCCAGGTACTTGGAAGGCTGAGGCGGGAGAATCACTTGAACCCGGGAGGTGGAGGCTGCGGTGGCCGAGATCGCGCTATTGCACTCCAGCCTGGGCAACAGAGTGAGAGGGAGGAAGGGAGGAAGGAAGGAAGAAAAACTGCAAAGTCAGAACTTCATGACTGCTTACCTAGCTATCCCCCTGCTAATTTAACCCTGAAAGGATGTCTTCGTGTGTTTAAGGAGAGATACCCCACTGACGGGATGTCTCTCAAGGCACTTGCCAGATGATGAGTATGGATGATGAGCATGCTGACTCAACCTGCATGAGCTCCTCAGGGGTTGGAACCCGACTGCAAAGCACAGCAGGGGGTCAGTAAAGCTCCTGAATGAAAAACCAGCCGCCCTCCACAATCTCAACCTTGCTACTGTATTCCCAAAACACTGAACTTACCGTCCTAGTGTAAAAGCGCCAGACTACCCATCACCTCACAGAAGACCTTCCTGAACCTTCCTACCCACCTCACTCCTGTGAGGAACAGCTATTTGCTGTGTACAACAACATTCTGTGATTGACCCAAAAAGTAACGTCAGAGAGTGTCTTGGGTTTTCGCTCCTTTTCTTATTCCCCTGCTTTCACCTCAAGTTTCCCCTCCAGGAATATGGCAGAAAAAGCAAAGACAAAAACTGGCTGCCTGCTAGGCGCAATGGCTCATGCCTGTAACCGCAGCACTGAGAGAGGCCAAAGCGGATGGACTGCTTGAGCCCAAGAGCTGGAGACCAGTCTGGGCGACATAGTGAGACAGGATCTTGCTCTGTCACCCAGGCTGGTGGAGTTCACTGCAACCACTGCCTCCCAGATTCAAATGATCCTCCCACCTCCCTAGTATTACTGCTGGGACCACAGGCACCCGCCACCATTCCATTCACTCCAGGCTGGAGTGCAGTGGCACGATCTCAGCTCACTGCAACCTCCGTTTTCCGGGTTCAAGCGACTCTCGTGCCTCATCCTCCCGAGTACCTGGAATTACAGATACGTGCCACCACACCTGGCTAACTTTTGTATTTTTTGTAGATACGGGGTTTCGCCATGTTGCCCAGGCTGCTCTTGAACTCCTGGCCTCAAGCGATCCTCCCACCTCGGCCTCCCAAAGTGCTGAAATTACTGGCGTGCGCCACCACACCGGGCCAAGCCCTTGTCTACACACACACAGGCACAACTTTTTAATGAGCCGGGTGTGGTGGCGAGCGCCCGTGGTCTCAGAAAGCTGAGGTAAGAGGATCGCTTGAGCCCAGGAAGCTGAAGCTGCAGTGAGCCGTGACCGCGCCACTGTACTCCAGCCTGTGGGACAGAGCGAGACCCTGTCTCGAAACACACACACACACACACACACACACACACACACACCCCAAAACCAACTGGGTGCCAGTGCCGGCTATCTCTGTAACTTTGCCTAAATTCCTTTATCAATAAAGGGCAAATATACACGCCAGGCCTCCTTCACGAGGTTATCTAAAGTCTAATGCAAATGAAAAAAGCCGACCAACTGTCATGTGCTGCCCAAATCTAAGATCCATCAAGAGACAGGTTCATTCAAAGCTCAAAACCAACAGGACAAGTCGTGACCAAGCACAATGCAGTCACTCAATAAACAAAGGTCAAATAAGGAATATTCTTCTCCAATAACGGTGTAAAGAGGAGAACCACGCTGCCCAGATACAACAACGTCGCTGCACGATTCCTGACAGGTAACTCCCCATCTCTGGGCCTTCTTTCCCCCTACGTGTACAATAAGGCTTTGACAATGAAGGCTTCTAATAACTGCTACATTAAGAGAGGAAGACTCTTGAGAGACCAGAGTGCCTTAACCTGCAATGTCATGAGAAGTGCACCAGACCAGAGGGTAGGCACTGGACTGGGAGGCAAAGGCACAGAGGTCTGGTTTGAGCAGCCCTCTTGTAAGCAGTGTGACCTTGGCCAACTCCCTTCCCGCAAACCCCTTCCTCCCGTCTTCATCTGTACGCCTGGCCTGAAGGCAGGGGCTGCTGCGGAGCTGGAGCCGCCAGTGCGCCCGCCTGCTTGACCCCAGCCCGAGGAGTCCCACGCTCTTCCGCAAGCAAGGGATGGACCCCTTCCGGATGCAGGACGTGCCAGGACAGCAGTTTCGATTTCCTAAGGAGAAGGCTTACTTCCCCCGGCGTCCCGGCACCGCCGGCAATCAAGAGCCTCCCCTGCTGCCCTCGGGGCCCCGCGGCTGCACGCTGCACCGGCACGAGACCTGCCAGCCCCGCTCCGCAGCCGGCCGCAGTCCCGCGGGGTCGGTATCGCGGGAGGGGCGTTGTCATAGGAACCGCGCTCCGGACCCCAGCCGGAGAAGCTCAGGAGAGGCTGCACAGAAAGGCTCGCGAGACCCGCGGAGCCCCCATGCAACCACGCCCGGCCTTCCCCTCCCAGGGCAGCTTCTCCCGGCCAGCAGCGCCCCCACAGCTCCGCGTCTTCCCGCGCGGCTCCACAAAAAACCCTACCTTCCGCCATGTCTGGCCCGGCACTGCCTGCAGCCTCGCGAGAAGTGCGCGGCTCAGCCGGGGCGGTGCGGAACGGAATCACCAAGTCTCGCGAGAATCATGGGAGGCGCGGCAAAGGGCGGAGCCGAGGGTAGGAAAGGGGTGAATGAAAGTGGACGGGGATGCTGGACTCTGGGGGAAGCGGAGAGCCGGGTTTATTTTTACCGGGTGTTTTTGAGGCTCGAGATTTATTGACCACTGACTGAGCCCTGTCATATTCCACATCCTTGGCAGGGCACCGAAAAGGATGACACAACGAATGCAGACGACTCCTCGGAGAAGCTTGGCAGTGAGAGGGGTCAAAAGAGGTGGTTTGTTGGTCCTTAGCTTGTAAAGATAGGAGAGGCTGGGAGAAAGGAGCCAGTGGAGAGGTGCCTGGGGAGGTGGGATGCTCGGCAGGCGATGCAGAACTCAGGAAAACGGATTAAATTTGGCCTAGAGGCGGGTCACCTGTTATTCCACTAAAACGTTAGGAAACAAGAACATGCGTGCGGATATATAGGGGAGAAGAAAATCAGGGAGATCGTTTGATGACATCGATTTTATGGGTGAAGTTATGAGACAAGGAAGGAGACCAAGAAGAGCGAAGAAACTTTGGAAGAGGACGCTGAAGTTGGAAGGCCTGGTTTCAAATGCCTCATGTATGTCTTGATGGATCACTTTTTTCTACAACTCAGCCACCAGGCTGCAGTAGCAGATACATTGAATTCTAGCATTTGTCCAGGGCTTGGGATTGTATTGCCCAAACTAAATTGAGGGTGCTATGAGACGACAGCCCAGCCCATCAAACATGGGATGCAGACTGGCTAGGGACTGACGGAGGAGCCACGAAACTGCGGGTCTCTAATAATTGAAGGCCAGTGCAGTGCAGGGAATGTTGTGAGAGCTTGGTGGTTATAGTAGCAAACAGGTTCATAGTGAAGTAGCACTAGGAGATGATAAAAGTCCAGGACAGGCCGGGCCTGGTGGCTCACGCCTGTAATCCCAGCACTTTGAGAGGATGAGGCGGGTAAATCACCTGAAGTCAGGAGTTCAAGACCAGCCTGGCCAACATGGTGAAACCCCATCTCTACTAAAAATACAAAATTAGCCGGGCATGGTGGTGCACGCTTGTAATCCCAGCTACTTGGGAAGCTGGGGCAGGAGAATCGCTTGAACCTGGGAGGCGGAGGTTGCAGTGAGCCAAGATTGTGCCACTGCACTCCAGCCTGGGCGACAGAGTATGACTGTCTTAAAAAAAAAAAAAAAAAAAAAGTCCAGAGCCACAGAGGACTGAAGTGGAAGTGAGAAGCCAGGAAAATTAGATGTTGGGATTTAGAGGTAGGAAAGGAAAGGAGCTTCAAGTGCTAAAATCTTTGGCGAATATGGGGAGGACTAACTATATGATTAGTTAGACAATTGCAGAATGGAGGACTAAACAGTAACATAGCTGAATAGAATGAGACTTTTCTTGCTTTTCTTTCTGTTTGTTTGTTTGTTTTTTTTCCCCAGAGATGGAGTCTCTGTGTTGGCCAGGTTGGTCTTAAACTCCTGGTCTCAAGCAATCCTCCCACCTCAACCTCCCAAAGTACTGAGACTACAAGTATGAGCCACCATGCCCAGCCTGGCATGAGACCTTTTCAAAAAAGACTTTTACTCAAGGAAGAATCAAAAGAATGCATCAGTAGTTCAGGATTGCCGGGAAAGTGGTGGCCTTGGAGGACAGCCAGGAGTAAGAGAGAAAAGGTTGGAAGGAAGGATCTGAATTAGCTATACCTGGTGGTGTAGGCTTTTAGTTGTTGCTACTTGGGAGGCTGAGGCTGGAGAATCGCTTGAGTCCAGAACTTTGGGATCGCAGTGAGCTGTATCCTGCCGCTGCCACTGCAGCCTGGGTGACAGAGCAAGGCTCTGTCTCTAAAAATAAATAAGAAAAAGAAAAGAAATTTTAAAAGAAGGATCTGAAAATGGAATAAGAGTGTCAGAAATGAAAGGGAGGAATTTTTTTTTTGTTTTGTTTTGAGACGGAGTCTCGCTCTGTCTCCCAGACTGGAGTGCAATGGCGCGATCTCGGCTCACTGTAAGCTCTGCCTCCCGGGTTTACGCCATTCTCCTGCCTCAGCCTCCAGAGTAGCTGGGACTACAGGCGCCCGCCACCATGCCCGGCTAATTTTTTGTATTTTTAGTAGAGATGGGTTTTCACCATGTTAGCCAAGATGGTCTCGATCTCCTGACCTCATGATCCGCCCACCTCGGCCTCCCGAAGTGCTGGGATTACAGGCGTGAGCCACCGAGCCGGGCCGAAAGGGAGGATTTAAAGTTGGAGAAGCTTTAGGTACTGTTAAGGGTAAGCATTAGTGGGTAGTGAGGTGCAGTGGAGGAGGAATTTGGAGCTTAGATCATGGAAACATCGAGTCAAGCACTAAATTTTTGAGGAAGGATAGGAATTCTGGCTGACAGGTACCTGGGAGATGAGAGACGGTGTTGAAATGTGTAAGCCTTTTTGTTGTGGCAGGAGATGAAAGGCGTGAAGATGGTATGAGTCAGGGAGGTGCTTAGAGGAACTGCACTGAGCAAGCAACACTGAGACAAAAAGGGTGGGGGAGAACTTTCCAGGCTCCATGGAAGGGCCATCGCTCAAAGCGTCCCTCTCTGTTGAGAATGGTTTATAGGTGTGCCCCCACGGTGAGTCTTTGGGGCCTTCAGAGTGGCCAGGCAGGCCAGGCTCCTCTGGATGCAAGCAGCCTCATCTTTTTATTGTGGAGTACCCTGCAAATATTGCCTGGGCCATAACGTAAAAGCGACATGGAAGTTGTTGTAAAGTACCGTCACTGCTGACTCCCGATTTTGCGTGATGACCATCATCACCTCAGCAGCACCAGCCTAGGGTCTGGAATAGAGCAGGCGCTCAACATGTTTGATGAGGTGTTTCCACTGCGTGCTATTCTGGGAGTTAGGAGACCTGAGTTCAAGTCTAGCTCCGCAGCTGACTTGCTGTGTTGATGATGGGCAAGTCCTTGCAAGCCTTATGCTGCCTCTCAGATTTTACCTGTTTCCTGAGGAAATGGGACTAGAATCCATGGTTCCTAAAGACCCTCTTTGAGAATTTGATGAAAACCAGAGACCCTCTCCCTTTGAGTAGCACACATGCAGGAATAAACAAACGTGTGCCCTTTCAGAGTGTGCTTGGACTAGATGTCCATGATCAAAGAAGAACTCGCCTGAAGGGACTGCTCACCTCAGGGGCTTGACTGCCTCTTCATCACAACCTCACGCTAAGGAGCCCTCTACCAGAGGTCAAAGTACCCATCTTAGAAATGGCTTAACGGTATCCCTGGGCCCTTGTCTGTTGTTTTTGTTCGTGTGTTTTGTTTTGTTTTTTTTGAGATGGAGTCTCGCTCTGTTGCCCAGGCTGGAGTGCAGTGGCGCAATCTCAGCTCACTGCAGCCTCCACCTCCTTGATCCTCACTGCCTCAGCCTCCCAAGTAGCTGGGACTACAGGCACATGCCACCACGCCCAGCTGATTTTTTATTTATAGTAGGTACGGGGTTTCACCATATTGGTCAGGCTGGTCTGGAACTCGTGACCTTGTGATCCACCCACCTCGGCTTCCCAAAGTGCTGGGATTACAGGCGTGAGCCACCACGCCCAGCCAGCCCTTGTCTTTTGGGGGGACTCTTACTGGCCTGTAACCCGAGTTACAGAGAATGTAGTAAAGCCTGTGAAATAAAGCACTCACAGTACTCAGTAAACTACAACACCCACCAGGTTTGGATGGAGCTATAACATTAGCTATAACCAGAAATACAGATGTCTTGAAAAAGCTGAGCACTGGAGCATGGTTCAGTTTAGACCCACTTCAGGTTTTGCAGTCAGATTCAGAGGAACTTAGTGTGGTGGTGTCTCAGGCAAGGTACATGAAGAACAGGAAGGGAATAAATGCCGTTTGCTTTAGCTTCAAGAGCACAGGGGAACAGACTCGGGAGGTAGTGCGGTATTACGGCAGGGCGAGAAGAGGAGGACACCTCCACTGGTACTCGGATGAACTGAGTCAAGTACCAGTCTCGACACATCCATGCTCTCTCTGACCCTAGAAAAGTCAGTGTTCCTGGGCTCTGGTTTCCTGACCTGTGAAGAAGGGCTAATATCACCCAGTAGGTCAGGGAGGCGGTGGAACTGAATCCCAGCCATGCAACTTGTGTGCTCCACAGCGATGGCAAATTAACCTGAGCCTGTTTCCTCATGAGAAATTATTACTTTGGAAGCTTCTTCTAAGAATGTGACTAAAACCTTTAGGAAAAACACATAGCACAAGCTTGCCACAAAAGAGAGGCTCAACAAAAAGAAAAAACCTGATTTCCAGCGCTCTTGTTGGGAATAAATGGAAGTCACTGTGAACATTGGATACTGCTGAGAAGAGGAAAAAAATCAAGTTTCTTGCCTAGGACTTTCTGTGCTGCTCCTATGACTTTGGATGTGTTTGGTTGCCTTTTGTGAAAGGCTTTTCCTTCAGTTTATTTACTTGTGTGAACAGAATTCAAAATTCTTTCATCATTTCACTAAAGCTCAGGGAGGAGTACCAACTCAACAAGCCAAAAAGCCTAATCCTGCCTTGGCAGCCAGATTACACACATCTGAAACTGACCAGAAATACCATGCCCAGCAAATAATGTGATCTGTGAACTGAATCCTGAGGGTTGTGGGCCTCCCCAAGGCAGAAAGGGTTGAATTTGATAAGGTTGTTATTAGCCCTATCCCATGAGAGGGAGAGGGAGATCCACATCTTTCCTGGAAGCCTAGTGCCTCACATACACCACCGAAAACCTGTTCATTTGCATTTGAAGCAGCATGCAAATAAAACGTTTTGGCTCTATACCTTGAGTAGCTGATTATGTCTAAAACTGATATAAGTTTGGGGATATTGTCTAGACCCTTCCACAAGTTTATTCCAAATATATTTGTCGAGAATTTGCACTCTGGAAATAACCCCTAATCTTCCCAAAACTCCTCTCGGGGGATTTCCTTGTTTATAATTTAGCTGAATAAGAGGTCTGACTCCACGTTCATTTCTCCGAGTTTGTAAGGAAGAGGCCTTAATAGTCACTAGCGATTTATATCAAGGACAAATAAGCTTTCAACACCTAACGCTAACTCCGTATGAACTATCTGTAAGGATTCAGGATAAAAAGCTGGATGTTGATATCTTGTATATCTTGTAAAGAAGGTCCTCTACTCAGTCTTACCTCTTTCGTCAGTAACTTACTACATGACCCCTGGGCAGATATTGGGGCATTTTCCCATCCGTTTAGAGGACAGAGGTGGTGACTGAGATGTGACAGTTCACATTTGAGTCTGGGTTCCTCACCTTCCAGCTTATCTTTATGGCAGAGCCAGTTGAGGCCAAAGGCAAAATCCCCAATAATGTTCTCATATGTGCTCACCTGAAGGTTCTAAATCACAGTGCGCACAGACTCTGAGTTAAAATGGTGCGTGGCCACGTCCTGGAAATCTAAAGAGCATCATCATCAGCTTGGAAGGTAAGCTAACGTCTCTGGTTCCTTCTTTAAAGTCTGTGAAATACGAGGTTTCCCTGTGGTCCCTTTGGCATCATGTGCTGTTTATACAGAAAGAGTCCCACAACTTGCTTTTGAGACCTGCATCCTAAAACCAAAACAGCTCATGATACAGCCTCTAAGTCGTCATTTATTGATTTATAGAGCACCCATCACATGAACGAGGTGCTTTACAATACAGTCAACATCACAACAGAACTCACATCGTTAAATACAATCAACAAATTACAGAACTAAAAAAACTGAAACGAAGCAACATTATGTCAAATTTCAAAGATGCTGAGAAGTGGCAGTACAAAAAAAGGTAATTCCACCAACTGGAGACCAGAGGGGCAAAGATACACAGGCACCACAGCCCAGAGCGGGCAAATTTGTAGAGGGTGAGCGAGCACATCAAATCAAATTTCCCAACCAAGAATGAAGGCCGTTAAAGATACTGACACCCACGTGATCACAGTACTAGTGGAATAACCTCACACACGTTACCTTAGAATAACAAGAAGTCAACCTCATATGGATTTTAAACTCAAGAGGCCAGAAAGCCACTGAGATCGTCTATCCCATACGAGCACAGACTGAAATCTACATGCCTCTACAAGAACTTGGAATAAATTTAGGAAACAGCCAACAGTTCTACAATCCATAAGATCTAAGGAAATATTGTTGATGGTTGGCACAAGTTCAGGGGGAAAATATCGTTTTCCTAAAGCAGAGAAGAATCGCCTCACATTGATGGTGAGGCACTGGTGGAACAAAAGCCACCTGGTTCAGTGTCACCTGAGTGTGGGTTTCATATCAAATGTAGAGGCATTTAAATTTACATTATCAGATGAACACTGAGAAAGGCACAGATGACATCTCTGACAGAGGAAGGGAAGTCGTAACATCTATGTAGGCCTGTTTCAGTGTGTAACAGAGTCAGGGCACTAGGTGGAAAAGCACGTGAAGAGAGACGCACTCATTCCTGGCTCTTACTTCCACTCCCATAGAGCTAGCCCTAAAAAAAAAAAAAAAAAAAAAAAAAAAACACATGGTTTTATCAAAGTAACTGCATTAAAGTGGCACTTAAAGTTCAAAAATAGTTGTCCCTGAGTTACTAGGTCATTTGCTGCTTGCTGAAGAGTCAGATCCCAAGTTTCACCTCAATAGATTGCTAGCAGAATTACAGCAATAGGAGAGCAAAATTCTAACTCCATTTTGCCACAAGCAACCACCATGTGAACAATTTCTGATTTAAGAGTAAAAAGGGAGGGATCCCATCTCTTAAAAAATTTTTTTTTTAATTAGCCAGGCATGGTGGCATACACCTACAGTCCTAGCTACTCAGGAGGCTGAGGCAGGAGGATCACTTGAGCCCAGGAGGTCAAAGCTGCAGTTAGCTATGATCGTTGCCACTGCACTCCAGCCTGGGTGACAGAGAGACCCAGTTTCTTAAAAAAAAAAAAAAAGGGAAAAAGGATTGCATTCCAAGTCCCTTGAGGGTGTACAGTGCTGACATTTTGGGGCAACTATTTTTACAGAGTCTTTGGAAAAAAACCAACTCACAAAGTTCTTGAAGAACACTGGTTTCCAATGAATCAATTTCCAGTCACAACACATTTATGGGTTTTTATAAGGTTTGTGGGTTTGTATAATGTTTACGGGTTTTTATAATGCTTCGGAGTAGAGAACAGACAGGGGTTTAGAAAAAAATCACTCTCTACTGTGACGACATCCTCAACCATTTTATTTCTGCTTAGAAAAGGACATACAACGTTTGTAGAGGTCTGGGCTCTTGGCAGCAGTTCCTTCACTCTTCTGCCAAAGCATTTCTGCAAACCCCACAGAGCAGAGATGCACGAATTCTCACTGATTCTCACAATCAAACACCATGTCCCATCTGCTACTGTTTCAAGTTCTATCCCTTATAAGCCAAAGACTACTTCCCACACACAACCTCACAATCAACATAAAGGAGCCTAGGGCCTGCCTTTAACACTGCACATGTTCATTTTACCAATTGCTTAAGTTGTTTCAGAAAACGGTATGATATGAAATATATTTAAGCTCAAACATTAATCAAATCCAAGTGTACTATTGTTAGTGATGGGATACGTCAAATAGCAAAGTGTTTACCCCTGTAATGCTTTTAGATTCACATGAGAGTCTAGATAGAACCAAATACATATACTGCCATGGCCATGTGATTTTCAAGTATTAAAAGTTCATTTGCATAAGGAATCAACCTGAGATTTTCCTAAACCACTTCTCTGGCATTCAGTATTATAGCCTTCATTCAATACAATAAAAGCCAACAACTTGACAATTATTGAAAAAAAATTATATTTTGGAAGAACTCACTACATAAGGTGACAGAATTCCAAAATCAAATTACATGAAAATATACATCGCAATTTCTTTGTACAATAGGTGAGAAAAATCTGCAGTATAGAAGAATAGAGGCAAAGAAATATGAAGGACTAAGGAGAAGGGTATGAGAGTAAATAGTATCTGTAATAGCAAACCCAGAAGTTAGGTAGAAAGCCTGTAGCTGTGCATGCTTCATTTATCCAACCTTAATACCGGGCAACTGAAGGGGGAAAAGTCAGATTTGCTATTGTTTGGGGGAAATTTTCCATAAGTTGAATTAAGAACCATCTATTTTTAGTTCTCGGGGGGTAATGACTGGGATCAAGAGCTCACAACAGCCAATAAATGTTATTGCTATATCCAATCCAAGAGGTGGGTGCAACTAGAATATAAAAAGGACAAAGCACCTAGTGATGACTCCTTCCAAGTCATCATTAAAAATCAAGTAATTGCTCATTAAGTATTTCAGTATTGGAACTAAATCATTTGAGAACATTCTGGCAGATAAGAGATAAAAGCAAAGGGGAGTGTGTCAAAACAAAGAAGATACAAAAGTTTAGTAAGTGAAAAGAGTTTAATGAAGCCTCAATGGTTTAAGGGAAATTAAATGGAAACTTTTAATCCTAATTGCTTTTCATCTGACATGCTTAAAGGAATCCTTTTAAACTGATAAGAAACAATGAATAGGAAAGAAAACCTGCTAAAATCTTTTAGAATTTACACGATTCTTATTCTACTACAAGAAAGCATTATTTGGTACAAGGTGTATTTGTGGATGTACATGAACAGTATATATATTATCCGGATCATGTTGTGCTATGTACAGGTCTTTACAATTCTTCCTGAAGGTTAAAACAGTTCATTAGAATTCCAAATGCGTAATCATCTGTAAGTTGGCACTTGTTAGGCTCTTGTCAGCATTGATAACTGGCATGTTTTATTGCAGCCCAGTTCCAGCCAGTGTTTGCCAACTTGTACAACAGAAGTCCAGCAATAGGTGGGTAGAGTGCAGGAAAAACAGTGCCATGTTTCTCAATTGGAGACCTACAACAACAAAAACAACATCATATAGTCAATTTATCAATTACAAAAGAATTAACTGTAAGTAGGTTTTCTCCGTATTAGATTTATTGGGCAACAAATCCTTATTTCATTCTGAGCTCACTTTGTCTCTGTCTATTATGGTAGCTCACAGCCACGAGGGTCTATTCGATCTTACATGTAAATTAACTGACATTAAGTACAATTTACAATGTAGTTCCTCAGTCATGTTAGCCACATTTTACGTGCTCAACAGTCACATGCGGCTAGTGACTGGCAAGCTGAACGGCACAGCTATGTCTTCATCATCACAGAAAGTTCTAATGGACAGCGCTAATTTAGATTTTTCAATACTTCAAATGTCTTTCAACTTATATTAAATCTAGAATCCATAAGAGAAGATTTAAAAGTCAAGTGATTTAAACATTTGAGGATATTCAGAGAAACAGCTTAAGATTGCCACACTTCCCAACTTGCTAAATTCTATCCACCTCACTATAGCTCCCTTCAAACCCATTTTCTCCACAAAGCCTGCCACAAATGACCCTCCATCCCAATTACAGTTTCTGTTTTCAATCTGTTGGCCTCGTATCGTCAAATTAGACTGTAAGTCAAGAACACATATACGTAAAAAGCAGGACCATCTCATCAAGTCTTACATGCCCAGCAGCATGCTAAGTGCTTTACAAACTCATTTTCTGAATGCTCACATCACCATTATGAAGGAGTCTCCCCGTCTAAAGGTGAGATAAGTTCACATAGCCAATAAATGGCTTTCCTGTTCAAAAAGTTAGAAAAACACTAGGTTGAAGTTTTTGTTTGTTATTTATTTGAGACAGGGTCCCACTCTGTCCCTCATGCTGGAGTGTAATGGCATGAATACGGCTCACCGCAGCCTCCGCGCTCAAGTGATCTTCACACCTCAGCCTCCCAAATAGCTGGGACCACAGGTGCACACCACCATGCCCAGCTGATTTTTAAATTTTTTTGTAGAAACAGGATCTCACCACGTCACCCAGGCTGGTCTTGAACCACAGGCTCAAGCAACGCTGCCACCTCGGCCTCCCAAAGCATTGGGATTACAGCCATGTGCTACTGAACGCTGTGGTTAAAGCTTTAAAAGTCTCACTTTTCAGAGTCTTTATTATATTAATATGCGCTTTGAAAGCGGGGTGGGTGGGGGCGCCAAGGACAGCAGAAAAGGAAACACCTATTAGGATTACATCTTTAAGTCAAGTGTTCCAAAGAACTCAGAAACTCTGAATCTATTGCCATGCACAATTTTGGGCAAAAGAATTCAAACAGAAGATGACTAAGAAATCAAGGGATATAATTTTAAATTCCTCACAGAGAAGCCAAATATACTTAAGAGTTATGGCAAATTTTAACTCACACCAGACATGTTCAAAATTCAGCGTGCCTTCTGAAGCCCAGCATGAATTTATCAATCTTTTTTTTTTTTCTTTTGAGACAGAGTCTTGCTCTGTCACCCAGGCTGGAGTGCAGTGGCGAGATCTCAGCTCACTGCAAGCTCCGCCTCCCGGGTTCACGTCATTCTCCTGCCTCAGCCTCCCGAGTAGCTGGGACTACAGGCGCCTGCCACCGTGCACCACCATGCCTGGCTAATATTTTGTATTTTTAGTAAAGATGGGGTTTCATCCTGTTAGCCAGGATGGTCTCGATCTCCTGACCTCGTGACCTGCCCACCTCGGCCTCCCAAAGTGCTGGAATTAGAGGCGTGAGCCACCGCGCCCGGCCAAATTTATCAATTTTACAATCACTCAAATGCAACCATAGCAAAAGCTCTGTTGTGGGGAGAAAGAAAGCTGTTTAGACGACCTCCCTGCAAGATCCTGAGAGGTAGAACGACTGCTAAATGTCTTTCCAAAATACATGTACCAATCAATGTAAATGGCCCTTAGCAAAGCATGAAATGTACTAAATAACAAATATAACACCTTCACGAGATACACATATGCACATACATATTTTTATTAGAAAATCAAAAGACATACACTGAAACTCAAGACATGGCCAGGCACAGAGGCTCCTGCCTGTAGTCTCAGCGCTTTGGGAGGCCAAGGTGGGAAGACTGTTAGACACCAGGAGTTCAAGACCAGCCTGGGCAACAGGAGACCCTTGTCTCTACAATAAATAATATAATTAGCCAGCCACGGTGACACATGCCTGTAGTCCCAGCTACTCGGGAGGCTGAGGCGGGAGGATCACTTGGAGCTCAGAGTTCAAGGCTGCAGTGAGACATGAGTGTACCACTGCACTGAAGCCTGCGTGACAGTGAGAGTGAGACCTTGTCTCAAAAAAGGAGCAGAACAGGGCAGGGGAGGACGCCACTGCACTCCAGCCTAGGCAACAGAGCAAGACTCCCATCTTAAAACACACAAAATCAGGTGACCTAGCCTTTTAATAGCACAGTTCCAGTTTTAGATAGCATTACCCTTTTCAGCAGGGGAAAAGGGAAATCCATCCCTCTTCCCTTTTAATAAAACTTACACTAAACTCTAAAGAGACAAGGCCTCAGCACCGAAAAGGCAGGTTTTGTCATTCTTTTCTCCAGAAAGGTAAACGTGAAAACTGAATTACCAGCACAGCACTGCAAATAAATGGGGCTGACTTGAAACAGTCATTTACATTTCAAGCATATCCACCTCACAGAATTTATGTTTCAATATTAATTGAAATTATATCAATTGCACTGGTCATTTGCCTCAAATGTTCTCATAATTATGCCTGCTTTGTAACCTAAAAATCTGGAGATGGTTTACCACCAAAGAACTTGAGTGTCTTACTCCATTTATTAATATTGCTAAAACTAGAGTCAAGTCTTTAATTTTCCATATGGCTACAAAACCTAATCTTCTAAAAAGATCTAAAAAGATATATAAAACAGACCAATGTGCTCCCAAATAGAAGCCACTTTTTGATGTTAATGACAAAAATAAAAGTAATTCTTCAATCACAGGCAAGTATTTCAATGATCTTAAGTGTTTCAATGATCTCGTAAGTGAAAACAGCCAATACCAATGAAATTTTCCCCATTACCCTTCACAAAAAATGCTTCCAAAAGTTCCAAATCACCCTACACAGTCACCCAGTGTACTCCTGACCCATCACCAATCCACTGACGTCTTCCCCCACACTGGGGCCGTGCTGCTTCTCTTCTTCTACCATGAGATTGGTGAGCAGCTCTAACACCAACTTCCTTTCCGAGCTCTCTGTGAGAACTCATTCTCCTAACTCTCCTGCGTGTTACCAAGCCAGTCTCTGTCTCTTCCTCCTGTCCCCTAAATGTGCAGTCTCCAAGCTGTTGTCCTTGACCCTGGTAAGTACTGCTCTTTCTACACCAAACAGATCTTCATCTCTATTCTGGAGACTTGCAATGTCACCAGCAGCCCTACTTCTAACACCCAAAATTGAGTCATGGTCTGCTTCTAATCCTACTGAAGCCTTTTTTTGTTTTTTTGGAGACAGAGTCGCCCTCTGTCACCCGGGCTGGAGTGCAGTGGTGCAATCTCCGCCTCCCAGGTTGAAGTGATTCTCCTGCCTCAGCCTCCCAAGTAGCTGGGATTACAGTCGCGCACCACCATCCCGGCTAATTTTTTTTCTATTTTTAGTAGAAAGCGGTTTTGCCATGTTGGTCTCAAACTCCCACCCACCCACCTCGGCCTCCAAAAGTGCTGGGATTACAGGCATGAGCCACTGCCCCTGGCCTCCACTGAAGTTTTTAATGTGGTTTAACCTTACTTTATTTTATGCTTGGTCTACCTGGCTAGACAAACAGCTCTTTACAGGCCAGCATAATGTATCTGTCGTATTCTATGTGTTCCCTCCTTCCCCAAGAGGACAGTGCCTTTGCAAATGTGAGAAATTACTATGGACTCATGCCCCACATCTGCAACGAGGTAAGGCGGGCAGCCTTCTACCTTGCCGTGCGGAGTTACCCGACGCATAGCCTTCTACCTTACTGTGCGGAGTTACATGATGCATAGCACTTACGCTGGGGCAGTTCCCCAGGACATGGATTCTGAAGCAGAGATTTGAGGTTTGTCAGGAGGTGCTCTCAAAAACAAGAGTGAGGGATGCAAGCTTAGACAAAGGGAGAAGATAAACTAATTCAAGGTAGTTGAAACAAAGGCCTCAGTCAATACTATGTTAGAATGACCTTCCCGAGAATTCCCAAACAAGACAAAAGAGCCAGTGGACCAGGCCTCTGTACCAACCCAACTCCACCCACCTAATCCACTAGTCATGGAATGCAGGTAAGCACCAGGGATTCCAGAAGCTTGGGAATGACTGCTTCCCTCAAGGCAGTCTGCCGACACCGGGCTCACCCTCTCTCACCTGCTCCCTCTGATGAAGCCAACTGCCATGTTGTGAACTGACTCACGGAGAGGCCTGCAGGAGACAGAACTGAGGGAGAACTCCCGCCAACAGGCAGTGAGGAGGAACTCAGTCGTGCTTGGAAGCAGATGCACCCCAGTTGAGTCAACACCTTGACCACAGCCTTGTGAGGGACCTGGAGTCAACCAAGTCACACCCAGATCCCATGGCCATGGAAATCATGAGATAATAAATGTTGTTTCAAGCCACTACGTTTTAGTAATTTGTTAGGTAGTAATAAAGAACGATACAGTCCCTCTAGCCTTAATGCCGAGCAGAGCCCTCCTTTCCAGTGGTATGCAGTAGCCATGGTGCTGATCCGTGCCAAGGGGAGGATTTGTTTCCTTCTCCTCTCTATTCTTCCTACTCCACAGCTGAATTAGAACATAGGTATAAGAAACTAATAATCTCTATATAGGGCGAGGTGTAAACACTAACAAAATGTGAGATAAAGCCTGGGCCAAGCAGCATCCACAGTAATCCGTGCATTTTGAGAAAATATGTGTGGCTCATGGACTTGAAGGTAGATAAATATGTATTTTCAAATAATCTTAAATTGATTTCATTTTCAGTTCAGCCCAGACAGACTATACATTTTTCAAGTG